CTGGCTTCTGTGGAAAGCTGCTGCCAGCAGCAAAGCCTTGCGTGCAGCCCTGCACGTGGAGGTGGTGTTAATCAGAGCAGGTAATTAGCACCGCTTTGCTGCGTTTGGTGTTGGGGCAGGACGGCACGCTGATGTCTGTGCTTACTGCCCACAGTCAGCTACAACGGGGAGCTCTACGTCTTCGGTGGCTACAACGCACGCCTCAACAGACACTTCCACGATCTCTGGAAATTCAATCCAGGTATTTATGCTTCTGGCTCGTTGCAGTGATGGGTGCTCGAGGTCCTCAGGTGTGTGAGTGCTCGGATCAATGTTTGCTCCGGGGTCTGGGGGAAATAGCTCTTCTGACAGTGTGGACAGAAACCTCCTGCTGTGCTTGGCACCCCTGTTCCTCCTCAGACCGTCTCCAAATCTCAGTTAAAAAGAAAAAAAGGAAGAATTGCTGAATGTGCCCACTCAAAAGGGGGCTGGCAAAATTTTGCCTTGTTCTTAGATATGCAGAACTGTTGGCAGAAAAGGTGTGGGGTTAGGGGAGCCCAGAGGCTGTAGCTGGGGAAACCACTTGACCCACAGCATCACCATAGCACACTCGATCTCGTACCCCAAATATCAATCAACCGTGGGCTGTTTTGGGGTCTTCCATTTGTTTGCTAATCGCTTAGAAAGCCTTAGATAAAAATGTTATCTGCGAGTAGCCAACCTGCTGTTCCCCCAGCCAATTTAGGGGCGAACGTGAGAGCTTGTGAGGGTTTTAGTGAGTAATCACCCCCGGCATCTTGCCGTAGAGAGCAGCAGGCACAAAGGCTGCCGTCTCCTGCTTCAGTTCCCGTGCTCCTCGGTGGGGATGCTCTGCATTCTCAGCGGCTGCCAAGAGATGGAGCTGGTTCCTGGGTCTCTCTCCAAATCTGGCACGCACCGAGGTCCTTGGGAAGGGAGCCTGGCTGCTCCTGCCGCTCCCCGTGGTGTCTGACCCGCTGCTTTTGGCAGCCCAGGGGCTTGGGCTTTGTGAGCAAAAGGCCTGGGCTTGCTGCAGGGGCTGAAGGGCAGGACCTGCAGCTCCCGTCCCAGCAGGCAGGGCTCCAGCACCCCTGTGCCCTAAGCAGCCTGATGGAAGGGATCGTTCTGCCTCCAGAAAAAAGAGGAGGTGGACAGGGAGGGCAGATGTGAGCTACTTGGTGTCTGTGGGGGCCTCGTTTTGGCCTGTGGTGCTGTTTAAACCCATAACCTGCTCGTACCAGGGTCTTGGCCAGGCCTTTCTGACAAGCCGGTGCACCCTCACCCTCTTCCTTCCCCTTAGTTTCCCTTTCCTGGAGGAAGATCGAGCCCAAGGGGAAAGGCCCCTGTCCTCGACGCCGGCAGTGCTGCTGCAGAGTGGGAGACAAGATCATTCTCTTTGGCGGCACCAGGTGAGCTCTGTGGGGTGGCTTTTTGGGGGATTTTCCATTCCCTCCAGCAGTTTCCCTCCGTGCTCTGCCCCGTGCTGTACCCAGAGCCATGTGGCAACTTCCCATGCAAGTGTGACAAATTCTTTAGAGCAGGGCTCCTCTGGAAAAGAGAAAGGGGAGGCTGAAGATGTCGTGTGAGCCCCTAAAGCCCCTGGTGGCAAGCCCTGTTTGATATACAGGGTCTTCAGTGCTGAAGCAGACTTCAAACAGGCTCACCCTCCATTAGATGCTGCCCTGCTTCTCCCACCAGAATTTCTTTCTGCCAGGCTGCAGAGGGATGTCAGCTCAGCCGGGAGCTGTCCGAGGAGCCCTCCGCACGAGGCAGCGTTCCCTGCCGTGCCAGTGCTCCTCAGCAAAGTTTCCGTTCACCGAGGGGACCCGGCGTTGGGAATTTAGCTGTCAAACACTAGAAGTGATGCTGCCGGGAGGCAGGGCAGCGGGATGTGGCCAAGAGCCTTAACAGCTGCTAGCAGAAAGGAAGCGGCCCATCAGCGGGACGTGCTCTGTGCTGCCTGGAGCCTGCTCACCAGTATCTACCTTGCACAGGCACCTGAAACACTTTCAGCCCTCCCAGGGGTTGGGAAAGCTTTGAGGCTTTCTCTGGCACCCCGGCAGTGGCTTTTTGGGGATGCTGCTGAAGTTTGGTTGAGGGCAGAGAACGAGGGGCTTCAGAGTCCCTCTGAAGCGAAGGGACTTCAGCCCCAGGAGAGCTTTTGGGGTGGGAGAAGGTTTAGCAGCAGGCTGGGTGTACTCAGAGCTGCCTGCCTCTGCCAGGCAGCACGGCACAGCTTGTTTTATCCACGGGGTGACTTCGTTGTGTGTCTTGTTCCTCGGGCCGGGCTCGGTCCTGCTGCAGGCTGGTTTGTGACGCTGTCCCGGGGCAGGAAGAGCGGCTGGGGGCAGGAATGCGGCGTGCCTGGGGCTGGGGAGGGGGACGGGCTGCGGTGGGGGCTGTGCTGGCTTCCTGTAATGGTTATCAGGTGTGTGCTGGAGCCGCCTGGCGAGATAAGAAGTTTTCCAGGAAGTCGTTGTAAACGGAGAACTCCCTGCGGTCTGCCTCCTGACCCGGGGAGGGGGAGAGCACAACGTGGGATGGGGATTTGCCTTGCAGGATGAGCCGGCGGGCAGCAGCACGGGCAAAACCCCTTTGTGTCCTGCCTCTCCTAGGGGCATTCCTGTGCCCTGGAAGTTCAAGAGGTGTTTCTGTGGGTGCCTGCTGCTGCAGCATCCAAACGCTTCACTTCTTTCACAGTTGTGCCCAGAGCTCAGGCTCTTTGTCCCCGTCTGTGGTCTCCTGGTCTTGAACTCCAGGCTTTCCCCAGCCGCTTGCAGCTGGGCGATAAATCGGCAGACACGCTGCCTGCCGGCTTTCCTCTGGCAGATAAGGGATAGCCCAGGTTTTCCTGTGACGTGGATGCGAGATTAGATTGCGGGGTGGTGTTGAGGGGGGGCTTTTGCCTGTCTCCAGGCAGATGGGACCCGTCAGGAACAGCAACGCTGAGCTGTGCCCCGCAGTGTGTGGGGGAGATGAGGCCGGGGGCAGCAGGTGCTGCCTCACCTCCCAGGGCACCGCAAGGCTTTAGCGGCTCGTAGGTGGGCAGCGAGTGGCACGAGGGGCCAGCTAAGCAGGGAGGACGTGCTAAACCCCTTGTGGCAACCCGAAGCGGGACCTAAAGCACCTTCCCTAGCTTTCAAGGTCTCCAAACCACCATTGGCTGTGGGAGAGCTTTCCCAGTGAGAGCAAAGCAGCGCTGCCTGCAGTGCGTGGCTCCTTCCCTTGCCATGTTTCTCTGGCTGCAGAAGGGTTGGATGGCCACTAACTACGACCACCACCCTCTCTGGAGGCAGGTCACGGCTCCTGTGCGCTGTAGCACAACTCGAGAGCCTCCCAAAAAGTCCTCTCGGGCCTCCAGCTTCATCTCGCCCACCCCGCCAGGGTGCCAGCAGTGCTTTTGGACCTTGCACTGTGCCACAGAGCGGTGTGTGAAGCCCCGTAGGTCGGGTGGCTGTCCCGTGTGGTGTCCTGGTTTGATCTGGGTGCCATTAGGTGACGCAGCATCGCTGTGACTCGTTTTGCTGGGTTGCTGGAAAGCAGTTTGGGAAATACCAGGGGAAGGAGGGGTGTGAGAGCAGCCGGGGTGCATGGGGAGCACGAGGAACAACCCCTGCAGGAGCGCTGTGGCACCAACTAACCGGCTGTGCTTGCGTCCCGCAGCCCGTCCCCGGAGGAGGGCATGGGTGACGAATTCGACCTGATGGATCACTCGGACCTCTACATCCTCGACTTCAGTACGTGAGCGCTCCCTGCCCGCACAGCTCCTGCCTCTCACCACCGGGAGCCTGGCAGCGAAGTGGTGCTTTGTGCCCGCTGCCCCAGCCCCGCAGGCACGGGGACGCTGTGCCTAAACGCCCTTTTCCCCCCAGGCCCCAGCCTGAAGACGCTGTGCAAGCTGGCGGTGATTCAGTACAGCCTGGACCAGTCCTGCCTTCCCCACGACATCAGGTACCGCACGCCTGGCTGGGAAAGCCCCCCTGGGTGTTCCCCCCTCGCCTGGGGAAGCTCCAGCCTTGGGCGCTGCGCTCGTGCTTGTCCTCAGTGTGTCCCCGCGGGTGTGTTGCAGATGGGAGCTCTCGGCCATGACGACGAACAGCACCATCAGCCGCCCCATCGTCTCCTCGCAGGGCTGATGCCGGCTCGCCCCTCGGTCGCCCTGCTCTCACTCCTCCACACGCCGACCTCTCGCTCCACTGCCTGCATGAATTTGTAGCCCTTTCAAGCCAGGAACGTCTGTGAGCTCAGTTTGTCTCGCCCTCGCCAGGCCTCCCTCCGCCCTCCTCACACTCAGGGCGGAGCAGGCAGCCGGGGAAGGAAATCTGCTGGCCCCAGCTGCGTGGTTTTGAGCCCCCGTCCTCGCTGCTGGCTCGCCTGGAGAGCCGCAGCCCTGCTGGCCTGGTCCCCTGCCAGCGAGGGCCCGAATCGACTCCTGCCACCGGCCCCAGGCCACGAACTGTGCCCCTGCTGCCTCAGGAGCACGGGGACCTCCACGCGTGTGTAGTGCACCCGCCGGTGCCACCCTGCCTCCGGCCTGCTGGGCCCCGTGCCCGCCGTGGGGGCCTGGCCCCAGCCGGCTCCTGTGCCCGGCTCCCGATGTGAACAAACAGCGAGCGGGGGCGCTTTTATAAACACTGAGGCAGAGGTGGCTTCCTGCTGCTCCCTGCGTCTGCGCCGGGGGCAGCCCTGCTGGGAGGGAGAGGGGGCGGGAGGTGACCGCGGTGTGGGGGCAATGGGGTGGCGTGGGGGCCCAAATTATGGGCTGTGGTGGGTGATGAGGCTGGGGCCTGAAGGGAGCCAGGTGGTGCTGGCTCAGGGAGAGCAGCCCCTGGCACTGAAACACCAAATTCCCTCTCCCTGCACCATGTGGGGCAGCAGGGGACACCCACAGATCCCCAGCTCGCTGTGGGGCAGCGTGGACGCACCCCGAGGTGCTCCTGGTTATGGGATGGGGCTGCTGCGAGGATCATCACAAGCTCCGGGACACTGATGGAGACACCAGCTCCCTCTACACCAAACCTTTAATGGGGAGAAGGGAAACACCTTGCTGGGGAGGCAGTTGTAGGCACCCCGCTTCCCTCCGAGGGTTTAGGGACACTGTGGCCCCATACCCCTCATGTCCCCAGCCCCTCACAGGCTTTGTGCTGGGCCATTGGTGGTCACTCAGGATGCCCCACGGCGGGATCCCTGCTGCCTTCGTCATCGCCCCCTCCTGAGCCGCCAGGCTCGCTTTACAGACCCCAGCTTCCTTTTATTGCTTCCCCTCTCAGATTGCAGCCGGGGCTCTATTTTTAGCAGCCCGCCTTCTAAAAATAGCCGCGAGCTGTTTGGCAGCAGGAGAGGTCCCGCTCCTCCGCGCCGTGGCCCCTGCAGCCGGGAGGCTACAAAAGGAGGCCCCGGGAGCAGCGGGGGTCAGCGGGTTCAGAGGCAGCCGCAGGCAGAGGAGGCGAGAGGAGCTCTGCCAGCTCCGGGCGCGCCGTGCCGGCACCATGACCATCTTCTGCAGCCACTGCCACAGGCCGCTGCAGGCACAGGCGAGCTGCTTGCCCAGCAGGGCCGGGGCAGCGCCCGGTGTCTCCAAACCCTTCAGGTGAGCTGCTCCTCACCCACGGGGCTGCAGGGGATGAAGATGAGGATGGGGATAGCGTCTCCCCCCTCTCCCTGGGCAGGTTTCCCCAAAGAGCTGGCTTTGCAGGTCGACCAAGAGCGCCTCGAAGGCTCGCCGGGACCAGATCAACGCGGAGCTGCAGGCGCTGCGCTCCCTGCTGCCCATCTCGGCGCGGGAGAAGGAGCGCCTCTCCTACCTGCACACCATGGCCCTGGTGTGCCTCCGGCTGCGGGGCGCTCACCTCTTCCCTCCAGGTACCCCTGGGCACCGCTGCACCTGCCCGGCACTCTGCACGGGGCGCTGCTCCCACAGGAGCCTCACGCTGTGCTCCCTCTGCAGTTTCGGCTCCCCCGGTGGGCCCGGTGCTCGCTGCGGAGCTCCTCTCCCTGCTGCCGGGCTTCCTGCTGGTGCTCTCGGCCGCTGGCAAGCTGGTCTACATCTCCGAGAACGTCTCCCAGGTCCTGGGCCTCTCCATGGTAAGGCCTGGCCGCTGTGGAGTTGCAGCCGCTGTCCCCGTGAGGCTCTCCTGTGAGCTCCCCCCCACCGGGGCAGGCACGCTCCGTGACGACAGCTCCCCGCCCAGGTGGAGCTCCTCGCCCAGGGGGACACGGTCTTTGACATCCTGGAGGGGCGAGCGCGGGAGGAGGTGTGCAAGAAGCTCCTCCTGGCCCAGGAGCAGCCAGGCAGGGGTAAGGCTGGGAGAACGGGAGGCTGCTGGGCTGGGGTCCTGCAGGAACTGCCCTGCCTGGGCGCTTTGTGGCCACCTAGGAGGGGAGCGGGGCCACCAGGGGAGCCCCTGACCCACTCCTGGTTTGCTGCAGAAGTCACGTTTGTCAGCGAGATGCGCACATCCAAAGCCTTCCGGCTGCAGCACGGGGGTAACCGGGCCGTGGCAGTGCGGGGGCATTTCATGGCCCCACGCTGGCCGGCCCCCCCCTCCGCCGCAGCCTTCCTGGCCCTCTGCACCCCGGTCCCACCGCTGGCTGCGGAGGGCGACGCCGGCTCTCAGGACGAGCTGTTCCACAGCACACACGCCCTGGACATGACCTTTAGCGATGTCTCGGAGAGGTGAGGGGTGCCCGCTCACAGCACAGCCCCAGCCGGCTGTGCAGGACCCCCAGGATGCTTTCACTTTGCGAAGCCTGGGTGCAGGATGCAGGCTGGACCCCACTCCTCTTATTCCCCCCAGTGTCACCTACCACCTCGGCTACCGCAGGGAGGAGCTGATCGGTCGGTCGTGGTACAGCCTCCTGCACCCCGAGGACGCTGACCTGGCAGCTGCCCAGCACAGGGCTGTGGGTGAGTGGCCGTGTCCTCTACCTTGGTCTGGCTACACCCAAGACCAGAATGGCCAAGACAAAGCACATTTGGTCCTGCTCACTGTACCAAGGAGGAAGCAGAGTTAGTGACATGCCTGTGCGGGGCTGCAAGCACAACGAGGGGCTGCCAAAGGGGTGGACATCACCTCTCCTAACGCCTCCCGTTGCTCACAGCGCTGGGGCGGGGGCCGGGCGGGAGCCCCGCGGTGCTGCGCCTGCTCCGCCGGGACCGCAGCTGGGCCTGGCTCCGCGTCTGGGCACGCCGGGGCCGCGGCCTCATCGCCTGCTCCAGCCGCAGCCTCAGGTGAGCGCCGAGGGGGGGCTCAGGGGGGCTCAGGGGGGCTCGGGGGGGGGGTCCCGGAGCCGCCCCCCGGGGGCCGCCCCTCAGCGCCGTGTCCGCCTCAGGGAGGAGGAGGCGGCCTACCTGCGGGACAGGCCTCGCGGGACAGGCCCGGCAGCGCCTCACAGCCCAGCGCTCAGCCGGCTGGCCGCACAGCTCCGCGCCTTGGCCGACAGCCTCTCGCCGCCCTCCTGCGCCGTTCCTGCGCCCTGCCCCGGTGTCCCCGGTGCTCCCGGTACCCCCGGGGCCTACCCCGCGGCCTGCCCCGACGCCGCCCTGGCTCTGGCCCGTCTCCTAGGAGACGCGCTGGAGGCGGCGCCGCCGGGCACTGCGCATGCGCGGCCCGCTCCTCAATAAACGGCCCCTGACTGACTGACTGGCTGAGTGCCTCACTGCGCATGCGCGCTGCGCCGGCCCGGGGGTGGGCGCTGAGGGCTGAGGGGAGGGGGAGGCCATGAGGGGAGGGAGAGGGGCACGGAGGGAGGAGGAAGAGGAAGAGGAAAAAGAAGAAGAAGAAGAAGAAGAGGATGATGATGAGGAGGAGGAGGAGGAGGAGGAGGAGGCGGCAGAGGGCTCGGTGTCGAAAGGTGAGGCCTTGCGGCTGCTCCCGCCGTGCCTGAGGGGCCCTGAGGGGATTTGGGGGGGCCCTGAGGGGTCTCTGAGGGGGCCCTGAGGGGATTTGAGGGGTCTCTGGGGGGCCCTGAGGGGAACTGGGGGGTCTCTGGGGGGCCCTGAGGGGATTTGAGAGGTCTCTGAGGGGATTTGAGGGGTCTCTGAGGGGCTCTGAGGGGATTTGGGGGGGCCCTGAGGGGATTTGGGGGGTCTCTGAGGGGGCCTGAGGGGTTTTGGGGGGGCCCTGAGGGGATTTGAGGGGTCTCTGAGGGGCCCTGAGGGGATTTGAGGGGGCCATGAGGGGCCCTGAGGAGATTTGAGGGGTCTCTGAGGGGATTTGAGGGGGCCCTGAGGGGGCTCTGAGGGGGCCCTGAGGGGATTTGAGGGGTCTCTGGGGGGCCCTGAGGGGAACTGGGGGGTCTCTGGGGGGCCCTGAGGGGAACTGGGGGGTCTCTGGGGGGCCCTGAGGGGATTTGAGAGGTCTCTGAGGGGATTTGAGGGGTCTCTGAGGGGCTCTGAGGGGATTTGGGGGGGCCCTGAGGGGATTTGGGGGGTCTCTGAGGGGGCCTGAGGGGTTTTGGGGGGGCCCTGAGGGGATTTGAGGGGTCTCTGAGGGGCCCTGAGGGGATTTGAGGGGGCCATGAGGGGCCCTGAGGAGATTTGAGGGGTCTCTGAGGGGATTTGAGGGGGCCCTGAGGGGGCTCTGAGGGGCCGAGCCGTTACCCACTGGCCCCTCAGTCAGTTTCTGCCCCTGCAGCGTGGCCCAAAGCCGCTAGGCCCATGTCCCGGTGGATGACTGAGGTAGGGAGAGGGTGTTTGGTGCTCCCCAGGGGGGTGGTGGTGCCTCAGTGAGCTGCTGGGGGGGTGGAGGTCCCTTCCTGCTGAGTTGTGCTGAGGGGAAAAGGGATAAAAAGCAGCCAGGTGGTTAAAGTAGCAGGAGAGGGGGGTGGGGATAAGGGAAGCAGGCTGGGCCCATGATGGAGGTCCCCTCAGCATGGTGAGCTTCCCCCAGGGGTGGGAGCAGCCCTTCTGGAGCAGGGCACTGTGCTTCCCCAACTTCTACCCAGTTCTTTTTGCCCCCTGGGACCTCTGGATTCTGCCAAAACAGCTGGTGGCTTGTTGGGTTTTGTTCTGCCACTGTCAGATAAAGTTTGTATCAGCGTGAGTGGCTACTTCTTGCCAGTCTCCTAAAAGCACACGGTAGGACACGTGTCCTGCACTGACACTGCTGTGCAGGAGGTGCTTTCCCCATCAGCTTTTAATGTGTTGCTTCTTGGTTTCGTTGCCAGCACATGAGCCTTTGCTGCTTTCCTGGTACTGTTTTGGAAATGCTGCCGACTGGAATTTTGCACTGCCAGTGACGGTGCCTTTGTCTTTACAAAACATTAGAGCCGTTTCCACATTGTTCTTCCTTTCTTCTAATGTTTTCTCTGCCCTTCTGACTGTCCTTCCTCAGAGACTTCCATTCGTCCAGTGACACCCACCTATCTTCCTGTATAGAGATGAACTGCTCTACGCCCCAGTGCCTCGTGTAATGAGCACAGATTCTTCCTGTAGTGCAATTTAAAGATTTCTGCACTGAAGGCTGTGAACTCCGCTAAGCTGGCTATAAATTAGCAAGCTGCTTGGCGCTCGGTTTGTACCCGAGTGCAGGTCTCTGCTCGGAAGGTGTCACGTTCTGCTGTGCGGGCACTAAGTGGCAGCACGAGGCTGACAAAGGGCAACGGTGGCAGGGGTGAGGGAGCCCAAGCCAGAGAGGGTATCAGGCAGGCAGCAGGATCAGTGGGAAGGGTGTTTTGGGGAAGCAGTGTGATCAAACAGCGCTGTGTTAACATTTCCTTTCTCCCTTGTTCTGAAAACTCGAGTGTGCAAGTGAAAAGAAAGCGTTTCCTAGGGCAGTACTTGGGGCAAGGTGTGGCTGTTTTTGGGAAGCCACATCTGGGTGTTTTGTGCCAGCTGCTTGGTACCCAGCTGTGCTCCTCTGGGAGGACTGCGTGCCTGGCGCTGCGCTGAGGTGCTGAGCAGGCAGACACCTCCCAGGTGTGAACCCAGAAGGAATCGCTTTGGTTGCGGTTAGGAGGAGGAGAACAATCTGCTGTTGGTGTAGGACTCGTCATTCGGGATGATAATGTTTTCTGTCTTGTAAGAACTGTTTAATCTCCTTCGGTGACAGTGATCCTAAGGAAGCGTAGCAACAGAAGACTCCAGGAGAATATCTCGTGCGTTCGTCGGCACTTTGCGTAGAAGTGGCTTTGATGTTTCTTCTGTTGTGTTGGTCTTCTGTGTGGTGGTTAGAGGAGAGAAGGAATAATTTTTTAATTTATAAAATATCAGGATGTAAGCTGAGGGGAGCAGTGGTTTCCTTTTTCCATGCAGGAGGAGATGGATGGCACCACTGGGCTCGTGCTGGTTGTATCCGACTGAGCCGTCCCTCTTGGTGGAACGCAGGGCTGGGAAATGCCTCGAGAAGCCGTTTGGTTCAGGTGTGTTCTGCTCTCTCTTCCAGATCCATGTTTTATGTCTTTTGAGGAACGACTGCAGCTGCAGAGCGGCACGAGAACAAGAGTGAGCAAGCAGGTGACCGGTGGGAAGAAAACTGCCAAACCTGCAGTGAAGCAGCAACGAAACAAAAAGGGGTAAAGGTGTCCTCGTGTGTTCAGGATGTGTCCTTGTGCCCTCTGCTCTCCAGAAGCTGTGCTGGGAACTCCTCACAGGTCACCGTTGCCTTGGGGCTGGTGTAGATCTCCTTTAACGTGCTGTACAGCAGCGGCCTTCACCATGGCACTTCATTTTGGAAGTGCTGGAGCTCCCAGTACTGCCCAGCTATTGCCTGTTAGTCGACAGTCAAATCAGCACTCAATTCCTGTACGCCCTTTTATTGAGATGCTTCTAACCCAGAAGCACGGCTGGCTTCTCTTCTGAGGGAGAGCGTTTTTACCTCTACCCCAGCTGCTTTCTGATCCCCTTCCAGCTTATCGGGGTCTCCTGCCCAGCTCCCCTAGCTGCAGGATCGGCCAGTTGGTCTGGGATCTCATTCATCCTTCTGCTCTTCTCTCATCCGTGTTGATGTCCCTCCCTCCCTCCCCTCCGCCCAGTACTCTCCCGTTCTCAGTAGTCTTTACACCTCCTGTTTGTATTCTCTGGAGGCCCTGTTGATGTGGGGACTGTGGAATGTGTTCAGTGCAACAAAGCTTATCAGATCTCTTTCCCGGCCTCCGCAGGCCTCTGCCACTAGCAGCTGCCATAGCGTTACCCTTTATTTGCAGTAGTTAACAGCTCTCAGTCCTCAGAGTCACATCCCAGCGATTTGAATGGGTTTCCTCTCTTACCCTGGTGTTCCCTCACCTATTTCTGATCCTCTGCTGAGTTGGTTTTCCTTCTGAATTGAGCAGCTGACCAGAGCGATGCTTCTACTTTGCCTTCTACCCGAGAGGCTGGGAGATTTTGTGTAGTGCAGCATCCTCACACGGCATCTCTGTTTCTAAGACATGGTTTGCATAATTCTGTTTTTATTATTTAATTCCCCTAATCCTTTAAGCGCTGCATCGCTGTAAATCCCTGATGCTGCTTCTCTCATGGTTTTTATAATGGAAGTGAACTTCTTAAAAGGGACTTCATGGAAATCCCTGGCAGCTCGGCTGCTTTCAGCGATGGGTTATAAAGCTGGCTTGCGCGTTGCACAGAGGGCCTAGCTACATGAGCGGATGTGAAAATACCCTAAATGCTGCCTTGAGCGTGAGCTGGAGAGCTGCTTTATTGCCTCAGGGCTGTTTGTGCTCCTTGCCCCTGTGTAACTACTGCTGAATGTGGCTGTAGTGCCAGGACTCTCGGCGGGGCTTCACACAACTTTTCCTGTTTCTGATAACGTGCATGATGTATGGACAAATCATGGGATGCAGCATCCAAGTGGGATGGGGAGAGTAGTACTCCCTTCTCCTGCATTATCCTGCTTTCCTCTCCCCCATAAAGCTACAAACTCCAAAGGTCTGTGCTACAAGAAGAGGGCTGTTAGGTGATGAACGAGAACGTGCGTGTGTGATAACTCAGTGCAGTGCGTTCACCGATGTGTCCTGTGCAGTGGCAGGTTTTCACTTCATACAGGGGGCTCTGGTGTTCCGGAACAAGACATAAAACACACGGATGTTCTGGGGGGGATGACTTTAGCCACGCATCTATAGAGCAGTTGGTTGTATTAGCCTTGTCTGGCTCTCGACCAAGTCACCTCTCTAGGTATCGCCATGGGAGAAGCCAGGTGTTTTGGCACCGTGCATTAATATCCTCCGGAGGGTCTGCGCAACCTGCTGGCATGTTACTCTGAGCCTCTTTCTGCCCTCTGCTCCCTTCAAGTATGTTTTTTTTTTCCTCTTTCAGGCCAGTGGAGATGTCTGCCAAGAAACCCGTGCCTTTCCTGCGCCAAGTTGTCCCTGTCACAAAGAAGGTGGGGTACAGGTGCCTTGTATTTTGGGGAGAACAAGAGGTAGGGTGCAGCACGTGCTGATTTTAATTCAGTTTATTGTTGCTGCCTGGTAAACTGGACGCAGACACGATGACTTGGAGAGGGACTGCCACCTTTATTGTTGGGCTCAGTCTTTGCTAACTGCAGATGTTTTCTGTGATGGCTATAAATATTGGTAGATTTAAAAAATAAAAATAAAAATAAAAATGGCAGGGTCTGATCCATGGGAAGAGAGGAAGCAGGACCTTAACTGGAATCCTGGCCCTGGCTCTCAGCTCTGCCTTCCCTGCTTCCAGATCCACAGGGACCCTCGATTTGATGACCTGTCTGGAGAGTATAAACCTGAAGTATTTATGAAGACGTACAGCTTCCTGGACGCCATCAAGAAGCAGGAGAAGGAGGTGATGCTTTATTTTATGCCTGTCCTTGGCCAGGAGAACCTTGCTTGGCAGGAGCAGCTTCCACAAAGGCCTTTTGCAGCGGAGCTGGCAGGCAGGCAGTGACGCAGCTTTCTGCTCTCTTCTCCAGATGATTCAGAAGCAGCTGAAGAAATGCCGGGACGCGGAGCAGAAGGAGAAGCTGCAGCAGCTCCTGAACCGCATGGTAAGCTCGGTGCAGCAGCTCCTCTCCTGTGAAGCACCAAGAGAGGAGGTGTGACCTGAGGGCTGTCTAGACGCTTGCTGCCACGGGCCATCCTTTCTGTGCAGACGCAGCAAGAACAGGCACAGAAAAAACAGCAAAAACAGAGGGAGAGGGAGCTGTCTTTTAAGAGACGTCAACGGGAATTGGCCAAGCAGGGGAAGAAACCCTTCTTCCTGAAGAAATGTAAGTACAGAGTGTGAACGTGCTGCTGACAGGGCTCCGAGCTCTGGAAGCTGAGTGGTCGATAATTTGGCTTGGAGCTGCGGAGGGATGGGTCTGGTGCTGGCACCCCAGTGACAAGCCGGGCCTGGGGCCAGGGAGGGAGAGGCGAGAAGGGGCCAGCGTGCAGAGATGATTCAGGCTTGGGTTAAAGCCCTGCTCCTCTCTCCTTCGCAGCTGAGAAGAGGAAATTGGAGCTGGCAGAGAAGTACTGCGGAGCTGAAGAGGAGCGGAAAGCTGGAGAGCTTCCTGAGCAAGAAAAGGAAGAGGAACGCCATCAAAGACAAGCGCCGTCTGCCCTCGCAGAAGAACTCGTGACGGCCGGACAGGCGTGCTGCTGCCTGGAGAGGTGGGGCTGCTGCTGCCATTCCCTCTGCCTGGCCAGGCCTGGCAGGTGGCCCCCAGCTTCCTGCTGTCTGCCGTCACCGTACGGTGACGCTGTGAGGCTCCAGGCCTCGTACCTGCCCGTGTCTTCCTCTAAGGGCAGTGCCACCACCTCTCTGGGCCCCTGCTCCACTGCTTCCAGGTCTCAAGGGGGTTTCTTTTTTTCCTCCGGGAACGCTGCCTGGTTTTAGCCTGTGATCTTTGTTCTCAGTGATGTGCCCGGCTCTGTATTGTTTAAAAACCTCGTTACAGGTCTGGGCATGAGCAGGAGGCCTTGCTTGCAGGCCTCCCCTCCTGAGACTCAATAAGCCAGCTTGCCCAGCCTCTCAGCACGGGTCTCCAGCCCCTGCCAGTTTTCCCATCCTCAGCAGCAGCGAGCCCAGAGGGCCGACACCTTCCTGCTGGGGTCCCCACCTGGGTGCAGCATCCAGGTGGAGTCTGACCGGCGCTGAGAAGTGAGGGAATTGTGTCCGTGTCTCATGAAGCAGCCGTGCTGTTGCAGGCCTTCCTCGTGGCCTGGTGCAGTGCTGCCCCCTCCTCAGCCTGTTTTCTAAGGGCTGGCGGTGCTTCCAGGTCACTCCGGTTCTGCACAAAATAAATCCTTCACTTTCCTCTATTCCCCGTGTCGTTGCTGTTGCAATCCAAGCCATAGTTTGAGCTCACGGGACGTGCCTCCAGCACTACCCATCACCCCTATCTGTTTCTCCTTCCTCCTGGCCCTCTCCTCATGGAGGTGATGTGGGGGTGAGCCCAGTGCTCCCAGTAAGACCCAGCTCAGCAGGGCCGGGCGCTCCCTGCCCAACCTGGCAGCGAGCAGCAAGCGAGGCGAGCAGCGCCTCCGTGCCTGGCTGAGGGCGGTACTGAGGCATCTGCCTCCCCGTGCATCCTGCTCTGCTGACGGGTTTTGGTGAGACTGGGGGAAGGCGGAAGAAGTGGGATGTGCCAGCTCGCTTAGGGACGATAAGGAGAGCCGCAGCCACCCTTAGCACAAAGCAAGCCAGGCGTGGGCTTTGCCTGGCCTCTTCCTCCTCTCCTGGCTTCGTGATGGATGCAGAGCCTGCCGCATCCTTACGCCTGCAGTGGCACCGAAGCTCAAGGCTCTCACAGCCCCTTTGTGGCATCATTTTGCTGTTCTACGCTTTGTTTTTATTCTGGAGCTGGACAAATCTCTCCTGGTAACGGTGCAGGGAGAGAATTGAGGAAGGAGGCTGGAGTGGGCTCACCTGGAAGCCCTGGCCATGCAGGAGTTGCCTTCCCAGGTCCCCGTGTCCCCATCCCCAGCTGCTGGACACAGGTTTCACCTGCTGCTGTCCAGCATGGGAGAAATGAGGAGAGAATGCCCCCATGTGGGCGCCTGGGACCTTCTCCCTGCATCTGGGTGGCCACCAATGAGTTCCCCTTTCCCCACCACCGCCACGTGACACTTGGACAGGCGAGGGACGGGGGACACGGACACGAGGAGGGCTCAGGTCTTTTATTGCAAAGAGGGAGGTACGAAAAAGGTCCCGTGGCCGAGCCTGCGGCTGTCCAAGGAGGAGGAGAGGCCGGAGGAAGCCCGGTCCTCGCTGCCCCCAGCGTGGGCACCTGGCTCTCACGGCACGGGGAGCGGGGCGAGAGGCCGCGGTGGCGCAAGTGGCGTCCCCACACAGCCCATGGGGGCAGTCCGGGGGGCTCTGCGGCCCTCCTGGTGTTTTGTGGGGGCGGTCGGGCTGCGGCTGCTGCCTCACGTGTTGTCCTTGGGCCGGCTCCTCGGGGCGAGTGGGCTGATCCCGGGACTTGCCGGGCGCCGGGGAGGGCTGGGGCTGGCAGGAGCCTTGCGGGGCAGGGCCGGGCCCCGGTGGCGCGTGGTTGCGGTGCCGCTGGTACTGCACGAACATGCAGAGCTTGAGGCCGATGGCCAGCATGTTCTTGCCCATGAAGATGCTGGAGACGCGGGCGTCCCTGAAGAAGAGCATGTTGCTGCCGCGGATGAAGATGGTGGTGATGTTGACGGTGAGCATGCTCAGCATGGGGTAGAGCATCATGCGGTGCGGCACGATGCCGATGCCCTGCATGCTGATCTCGCAGAGGGACACGCAGGGCAGGACCAGGAGCAGGATGTAGCAGTAGAAGAACATGATGCCCTCCGCCCAGAGCGGCAGGCCCTTCTTCTGGGGCTCCCACAGGTTGGCCTGGATGTCCAGCACGTCCAGCATGTCCACGATGACCCAGAAGAGGCGGTTGCGGAGATCTTCCTTCTTCTTGAAGGTCCGCACGTACTCCATGCGCTCCGTGGCCACCAGCAGCACGTAGAGGGCCGGGATGCAGACGGAGAGCAGCAAGGTCAGCGCTTTGCGGGCCATCAGGTCCAGGCTCTTGCGGTCAGCCTTGTAGTTCTGGTAGACGAAGTAGACCTTGATCTCCAGAACGAAGACGTAGAGGAACCAGAGGATCATGGCGTAGCCCCGCTTGGCCGTCTTCACCTCCGCCCCCACCCAGGTGGCCACGTAGCGCAGCACCAGCAGGAAGCAGACGTCGCCCACCGCCACCATGACGCAGATGCCCAGCTTCCTGGAGCCCTGGCTCTGCTCCACCAGGTAGGCATCCATAAGGACGAGGCTGCTCATGATGAGCACGGTGGAGAGGCACACGTGGGGCTTGCTGATGGGCGGCGGGGGCACCATCCTGCGCGGAGGAACAGGCAGGGCCATCAGGGAGCTGCCGGGCGCGCCCGCCCCCACCCTCTTGTCCCCCCCTCTCCCCGCCAACCGTGGGTGAGCAGAAGAAGGGGTGGGGAAGGTGAATGGTCATCAGTTTTTCCCCCAGCATTGTTTTAACCCCCCAAAATGTGCCAGGCCACGTCTCCACAGGACATCCTGCCGGGGAACTGGGCACGAGCCCCCAGGAGCCACGTGTAGGGGGACCACGGGGCAGGCTGGGTGTCCCTCAAGCACTTGGAGTGCTCCTGCCTCTTCCTGGAGCTCCTCGCACTGCTTCATCTCTTAGTGCCTTATATTTTCCGTGGGCTTTCCCGGTCCGTGGCCCTGGTTCTGCTCTTTCCTAGAAGGCACGCGTGGCCGTGCCCTTATCCCGAGCAGGTCCTTAACAGCCGTGAGGCAGAGCCCTGTCTTTTTAGCCTCCTTCATTTCCATCCTCAGCATTAGGAGAAAGGACAGCCGGGCTAAAAATAAGCTGGAGGGTGGGAGGGAGGGAAGAAATCTGCCCAACATCTTCAGTTTCCTCCAGCCTCGTGCTCCTCAAGAGCTTTGCCTCCAGCTGCCTGCCCGTGCCCGCTGTTCCCTGGGCACCATCAGCAGCGGGAGGCAGCGCTGGGCACGCAGAGCTCTGCAGGAGGCCCTCGATTTCAGCCCGATGCTCGGCTTCTTGGCACAGGCAGAGCAAAGCCCAGACCCTACGAGGTTTGGGTGGCACGGGCACCGCCGGGCTCCCTCCTCCTGGCCCAGCATAGCTGCGGGCGGCCGCTGCCAGCGCCGGAGGGAGCGGGGAGCCGGGGCCCTGCGTGGCAGCTGCTCTGGAGGGGAGCCAGCCCCGGGGCTGAAATGGAGGCCGAGGCTGGGCTGCTGGCCGCGCTGCCGGGGCAGGGCAGGTGGCTGTGAGCGGGGCACACGTGGCACCACGCTGCCAGAACTGCTTCGGGGCCAGGAACCTGCGAGCTCTGAGGGATGCAACCTGCTGGGCGTGGGTGCCTCTGGGGCAGAGGTGCCCGAGGCTGGTGGGGATGGGGGAGATGATGGTCCCGATAGATGGGGCACCCCAAGGCTTAACCCTGCTGGTTCCTCAAACCTTTGGAGGATCTGCGAGCCTCCCGCCCCCCAGCACGCTGCCCCACATCCCCAATCCCACCCGCCAGCCGCTCTGCCCCACTTTCGGGCTCTCCATAGGGCTGCCACCCCACCACCCCTACGCCGAGCGAGCCCCCCGCGTGCTCCCATTCATTACCTGGGGGTGCCCGGACAGGCGAAAGCCCCGAACCCTGCATGTCCCGAGCCTTCAGCCGAGCGGGCGGCGGGGCTGCAGCAGGAGAGCGGCGAGGCGGCGGGGAGCTGCTCGGAGCCGGGCCGGGGAGCGGCGGGGAGGGCCGGCGGCCGAGCCGGGGCAGGCGGGGGAGCCGCGGCCGGCTCTGGCTCTGGCTCTGGCTCTGGCTGTCCGCCCGCAGCATGGCTCGGGCTCGGCGCGCCGGGGAGGGCCGGGAGGGAGAGAAACGGGGCCGCAGCGGCGGAGCGGGGCCCCGCAGCTCCCCCCCGCCCCCCCCAGCCGGGGCCGCGCTTACCTCGGGGAAGCGGCGCGGGGCGGGGCCGGCACGGGGAGGGGGGGGCACCCCCGTGCCCGGCGCGGCATCGCCCGGCGGCGGCTCTGCGGCTCCTGCTTGGCCCCTCCCGGCCGGGCGGGCGGGGACTGCGGCGGCCCCCAGCGAGGCCGGCCCGGGACCGGCCGCGGGGGGCGCGGAGGGGGCGCGGGGGGGGCGCGGGGGGCTCCGCTCCGCACCGCGCTCGGCCCGCTCCGGGGGGCTGGGACTGCAGGGGGGGGCGGGGGGGGGTACCGGGGGGGGGGGGTCCCGTTGCCACGGCAACCCCGCCGGGCGCGCGCCCTGCCGCGCCCCTCGGCGCGCGCCCGCGCCGCCAGCCCGCGCGTTAAAGGGCTCCTGGCCACGCCCCCTCCGCCTCCCATTGGCCGCTCCTCGCCTTCCTCCTCCTCCCATTGGTTCCCCGCTGCCTCCCTCCTCCCCCACCCCCATTGGCCGCGCTCTCCGCCCTCCCCCTCTGCCATTGGGCGGCTGCCCCTCCGCCGAGCCCCTCCTCCCTCTTCCCATTGGCCGCCGGCTCGGCGGGGGCCGCCCGTTCCCGCCACCAGCCGCCGCCGAGCGCGCGCGCGCGCCACCGGGCGGAGCGGGCGGGCGCGCGCCCAGGCGGAGGCTCCGGGGCCGCCACCGGCGGGGGGATGGCGGCGGCGGCGGGCGGCGCGCTGGGCTCCGGGCCCCCCCCGGCACCCCCGGCGGCGGTGGCGGCAGCAGCGGCGGCGGCCGGAGGAGGAGGAGGTGGGGCGGCGGCGGCGGCCACCGCGGCCGCCACGGCGAGCACCGTGATGATGCTGACCGCCGCCACCCCGGCCGCCGCGGCGGTGACGGCCGCCGGGCCCGGCCCGGTGCCGGTGCCCATGAACCTGTTCGCCACGTGGGAGATCGACCGCTCGGCGCCCAGCTGCGTGCCCAGGTTGGAACCGGGGAGGGGTCCCCCGGGGGTATCTGGGGGGGTCTCGGGGCTCGGTGGTGGCTCCCGGTACCGGGAGGAGCCGCCGAGCCTCGGGGGGGGGGTGTGGGAAAGGGGCGGCGGCGCTGCGGTGGTCGCGGGGAGGGTGGGTGGGTGGGTGGGCGGGGTGGGAGTGGGGGGGGGTTCTCCGACCGCCGTGGGTCTGTGGTGGTGGGGGGGGGCTTGGGGGTGTGCTCCCAAATCAGTGGGTCCGTGATTCTGGTAGGGGGGGGGGTATGGGGATGGATGGCCAGGTGGTCCTGGAGGTGTTCTCCTACCTCGATAGGTCTGTGGTCGTTCGTGGTGGTGGTGGTGGTACGAGGATGGATGGGCCAGGTGGTCCCGGAGGTGTTCTTCAACCTCCATGAGCCTTTGGTTATTCGTGGTGGTGGTGGTGGTACGAGGATGGATGGGCCAAGTGGTCCTGGAGGTGTTCTTCAACCTCCATGAGCCTGTGGTGATGGTGGTGGTCTCGCAGGTCTTCTCCGAGCTCAATGGTTCCGTGATTCTGGTGGTATTGGTGGTGTGGGGATGGTTGGGCCAGGTGGTCCTGGAGGTGTTCGCCCACCTCCATCAGTCCGTTAGGGGTGGTGGTGTCGTACAGGGGCACCAGGTGGTCTTGGAGGCCTTCTCCAACCTCAGTGAGTCTCTTAGTGGGTGACGGTGGTGGTAGGGGGTGGTTAGGCCAGGTGGTCTTGGAGGTCTTCTTCCATCCTCAGCGGTTCAATGATTCTGTTGGTGGTGATGGTGGTGGCAGGGAGATGTTTGGACCGGGTGCTCTTGGAGATCTTCTTCTGACCTCAATGGTTCAGTGATTCCATTAGTGGTAATATTGGTGGTACAGGAATGGTTGGACCAGGTGGTCTTGGAGGCCTTCTCCAACCCTACTGAGTCTATGACACACGTGGAAAAAGCACAGAGCAAATAAATCACGGCAAGAACCAGCCCTTGGAAGGGGCACCAGGAGGCAGAGGAGTTGGGAGCGAGGAGCATGGGGTCCAGCAGCCAGACAGCAGGGAGCAGAAGTGTTTGGAAATAATGCCCAGCTGGTGTGGTGCCCACCAAGGTCCTGGGCTCCACGGGCAGCAGCCTGGAAGTGCCTGAGGTTTGGGGTCAGGTTTGGGGGCAGCTTTGGAGTGCCTGGAGGTGGTGCCTGGCTGTGGGTGTCGAGCAGTGAGCCGGGCGGTGATGAAGCACGTGTGGACGTAGCCCTCGCACGCAGAAGCTGGGAGCAGCTGCCGGGAGGCGATTCTCCCTTCCCAGCCCCAAAAACGAGCTGGGTTCGTGGGGAGGCTGTGCTGCGCTCCAGGAGTGGCAGCGGTGGCAAAGCAACGCCCAGTAACGGGGCTTTTGTCCCCTACACGCCCCTGGTCTTAATCCTCCCGGCCCTGAGCGAGTGTAGGGGCTGCCGAGGGGCCGTGCCCAGGCCGGGAGGATTTTGGGGAGGAACCCAGGGCGCTGAGCCAAGTCCCCGTTGAGTTTTGGGGGCTGCCTCGCTCTCGGATTGGGGGTGTCGCCCTTCCTGCTGGGGTCTCTCTGTGGTTTCGGGGCCCGGCTGGGAGAGGTGTGTGCACGGAATAAAATAAAATGTCTGTCTGCGTGGAAGCAGCGCCGTGCTGTGCTCGCATTGTTCCGCGCTCGGGAGAAACGCGTGGAAGGACTTTGTGCAAACACGCTCTGGGGCTCGGGGCTTGCCAAGCAGTGTTATTTTTCACCCTCTGTTAATAGCTCGCCTCTCCTGCCTGCTGCCTTTAATATCCGAGAGGCCGCGAGCTCTTGAAGAATTAGGAAACGAGATAAGATGGCCCGATTGGGGTTCCTTCTTGCTCGTTTTCCGTGACACAGCCGGCGTGTCGGGGATGCTGGTTCCGCGATAGGTCGCGGCGTTTCTAGCCGGGGGTGCGAGATGCAGGCAGCATTTTGGCTCAGGGATTGCCGTGGCTGAGCTGGGAGGGCGAAGGCAGGTTCTGAGGTACACGGGCACACTCACACGGGGCTCAGGGGGCTGCTCCGTCCCTGCGGGAGCGCAGCCTGGCTTCTCTGCAGCCCCTACAAATCCCCCTCTCCGAGGCCGGCTTGGCGGTGAACGCCCCCGTGCTCAGCGATCCTTTAAGGCACCATCTCCTTCCAGCCGGAATAACGAGCGTTTGTCTGCCTCTGATGCTTTCGCTGCTTCCCTGGGTAAATCGGGGCTTTTCACGGCCAACTTCCAGCCTCAGCAAAAGCTGCTCGGGGAGCAGCAAATGGCTGCAGACGATTCCCCAAAAAGACAGTAGGATGCCACGGGGGGGACGGCGCAGCTCCGGGCAGGGAGAGGCCCCGGCCTCTGAGGAAGCAGTCTCGTAGCCGGTGCTGTTTGCCGTGTCTGAATTATGATTTCCTCTTTGTCCTAGCGAGAAAACAAAACGTTCCTAGAGGCCGTCTGATGCCCGCGATGGCTTTTGCTCAGGTGCCTCCGTGCGCCGGCAGCAGCGGGCCCGGGGGAGAGGTGCGGTGCTTCGGGTGCCGCTGTGCTTACGGGGCTGCTCTGCGGGGTGATTCATCCCCCGTGCTCATGGCCCGGAGTTGCAGGGGCATTTCTGCACGGGCATTTCCTCGCAGGCCTGTTGCAACGCCAGCACCGTTACAGCCTGCTGCCCGCTGTCATCTCGCGGGCGGTTTCTGCTTCTCCTGCCTCGCGCGGGCTAAGCCAGCGAGAGATTCTGCTTGGCTGACAAAAACTCCTGTTGTGTTCTCGGTTTTCTGGGCCCTCCTCATTTTCCTCCTCGTGCTGTTTTTTTAGACTTTCCCTGGAAATCCTTCTGACTCTGCAGAGAGTAAGTTGAGGTGCAGAGCCTCTGCATATGGGACCGTCGCCTGGACAAAAAATGCACATGCACAGCTGTGGGTTTTACCTGTTTTCTGTGCCTAGGATACCCAAATTCCTTTCATAGCAGCTTAGGGTGATGGCTGAACTCACGCCTTCGGTTCCATTCTCCAGAATTGAAGACCACTAACAATCGGCTGTAGTGCTGTTGTAATGGTCACGGGGCTAGGACAAGAGCAGCCCCGTTGCAAAGGCTCCTGCTCTCTTCTCGTTGTTCCTTAACGCTTCTTCTCTACCAGGGAAGATCATATTCATCCAAAATGTCTCATGGGCAATTCTGCCCAGGTAGCATCTCTGAATCCACATTATTTAGGTCAGGATTTTTAGGTGTACATTACTTACGTATTTCAGAGGAGCTCCCTTTCATCTGTCCTGCATTTTTCCCGTGTTCCTTCAGCCATCTTCTGGCAGCCTGTTGGTTTTCCCACCTGCCTTATGCATCCAGTTCCTTTTCATTGCTCCTTTCCCTCAAAGGCCCCGCACACCTTGGCACCATTCTCCCTTTTTTCCTTGCTTCTCTATTTCCTTACCCACCCGTAACCGAGTAACCTTCAGTTATGAATCTTAATTTTTCTGTTTTCTACTTAATTTTCTCTTATTCTCGGGATTTAGAGGCTATTACTTGCGAAGCTGCAGCGGCCACAGCCCATTATTGCGTGGCTTTTGTTTTTCAGCCGGACAATGCTCGCAGGATGTGTTTTAATAGCTTTGGGGTTTTCTTTCTCTCTTAGTGAATAGCAGGCCTTGTCCTGTAGTTAGGCTTTCTGAAGGTTCTTGGATGCACTTCCCCGAAATGCAGTCCCGTCAATTGCCATTTATTTCGGTCCGCTCCTACCTCCTGCCTGAGGCTGCTGGCTCCGAGTATTCCTTTCTTTCTTGTGAGCTCCTTTGTCAGAAGCAGACCCAGGATGTCCATTTGAATTTCATGCCGTGCTGTGTATATGAATAATTTACTCATTTTTTTCCCCCTGGTGTTTATCGAGTCCCTTAACCGAAGCTTTTCCTCTGCCTGTTATGTTCCTTAATCTGCCGTCAGGGCACAGGACAGCGTTCCCATTTCTCTGCATTTATGCCTTGCTCGTGTCACCTCGGACCGAGGAGACGTTCCCACTCCCCTGGGGCTGACTTTGTTGCCCTGCTCCTTAGGGGAGCATCACCCCTTATTTCAGGGGCCTGAGCAAGCGGGTGGAAAGCCTAGATCCAGATTTACTAGTTGTGGTGAGAATTATTTTTGAGTGAAGGATCTTTACTGTGCAATTCTTTAGAATTGAACTTTTTTTTTTTTTTTAAAGGAAAATGTAAATGGGTTTTGTTCCAGTTGAAGAAGCT